AATAACGTTACTCTAGGACAAATGAGTAAACCATTGACAGCTTACATTTTTTTATAAGTTGCGTTTATTTTTCAATTAAGTGTGATTTAAGTGTTTTATATAAACTATTTAAAAGTCTTAAACATCTTTTCCTCTGCCACAAACGTGGAATCAACTACATCATACTTGTAAGTATAATTTGTATGTTTATTTTGCATGTTCTTTTTCTACTGGTACATATAATTGTTTTTTTAGAACTTTTAATAACTCACTAATTAACAGTTATTATTTTATATTTTAGTATTTTTTTATTTTTTGTTCATGTTAAGTAATAAATGTCTTGAATTATTAACTATCATACTATACACACGTTATTAATTTACTATCGTATGTATATTTGCACATCAGTATTCATTTCAATATTTATTTGCATGAATTGTTACGGGGTGGGAGCTATTTGACAGACGCAACATTCTTACTACGTATTACTCAGATAATTGGGGTCGGTGCTCGATGTGGCGGGAGGAGGGTGCGAGGAGGGAGGGTAATTGACCTTGACAGCCGGCAGTATCCGGGCGGGCGGGCGTCGGGCAATACGATCAGAAACTGTACAATGTACAACATAACCACTATGTCCGCGTCAGTTCCGTGCTGAATTGTGCGAATGAGTTGGTAGTTTTTTTTTATTTCAGCTCTTATTAAAATGCGTCTTTACGAAATTAGTAAATTTAGCAGTATATTTTCATCTGTTGGTATGAAAATAGGACTTCAATACGCCCTGGAATTCCTTGAAAAATACCCGGGAAAACCGGGAAAAAACCGGGAATAAAAAAATCTGTTTTGAGTGGCCACCCTGATCTAGATTTCGTCCCCCCACCTCTCAATCCCAATCGCCGCCACTGGTCAGTATGAGTATAACCATTGGCTATTGCATACTAAAGTAAACATCCTGTTTTGCTGTCGCCAATTTTTCTTTATAAAAGAGCCTATTTAAGTGAGCCTGTCACAGAATGGGCTAGTGTCTAAAATTCAGCATGTCTGTTAATGGGTCATATCAATTACCAAAGCTCACAATAAGTCGTTCCATTATTTTGACTTCTTAAAAATGTTTGTGAATTCAACAAAAATTAGTAATTTACATCAGCACAATCTGTCAGTGGCTCACATCAACCACGGCAATTTTTATTTATAAACTGGCGACAACATTAACATGGTGATGGAATGTCTAGATGTTTCAATAGTCAAAGGTATAGCTCGACAAAAATGGTTGAATACCTGACATGTTCCGTTATCAATTTTGGGTTCATAAGATGAGGGGAAACCATGAAAAAATATGCATGGTTAAATTAATTTAATAATCCCTGGAACCAAAGGGATTAAACACAACTTCACCACAGCACATTATTTCCACTTTCGTATGCTATAACAATAATTTCAGCTGCTTGAGATGTGTGAGCCTAACTTTTAACATTATGTCCGCAGAATACAACCCCCTGATGGGAAGTGGGGGCAGTGGCGGCTACCGTCCCCCTCGTAGGGGGTGTCCTGGCGGGGGCTGTGGATAATCCAACCTCGACACTGAAACTCAAATCTAACGTAAGCTTAACATTGTACACACAAGTAACATAGGGTGACTGCATTTGTGATATAAATTCTAGTTTTTATAATAAATTGATCTAATGCCTAAAAGACTATGTTTATGAGACTTTTGTTACCTTTACATCACGAGTTTGGTTTTGTTACTTATTCCACATTTTACCAAATAAAAATATTAAAACTGTTACTTGTTTATTTTTATTTCCTTTTCTTTTAAGTGAAATATTCTATGGCCAATGGCCATTGCCCATGAGATAGGTACTGAAGAAGACAGAACTGCATGAACCAGCTGTATCCTTTTTTTTTTATTTGAAGAGAATTTAATTGAAGATGTGTTTTACTATTCTTTTTTAATTGTTCGTGCTAAGATATTTAGTGAGACTATGCCATAGTCAAACAACAGATTGACTTTAGGTTTGGCTCAGTTAAAAAGTTATCAAATTCAAATCAGAAATTGCAGGGGACTACAAGGGGATTTGATAGCCCACTTGATTAAAACTTATAACTGGGGTGATTGTGGAATTTCTTGAAATAAAAATTAAGATACTACAATTAATTTTAAGGGGAAATTATAATTTGGAGACTATAATAAATATTTGAGATTTGTGAGATCGTGTGAATTTTGGTATTTTTTTTCTATTGTGGTATAAAAATTAAACAAAAGGCTCCAGACTTAATTGTCACCCAGTATTATGTTCTCTTTCTTTTATTTTAAAGGATCAGTATCCCAAAGAAATGGGGAGGAAACTCACAAAGACTTGAAAAAAATAAGTGTATACAGTATTTTAATCCAAAAATAAAGCACTTTATATTGCTAAAAGGGTAATGTATAACGATGTAGTTCATGAAATGTATTGACATAAGTGTAACGAGAAAACTTCATGTATAACCTCCTATGCCAATGTAGCTGGGTTTTATGCATCCTCATAGCATCTTGCACCTGTTCGTGTTCATAAGATGACAAAATGAAGATATTCTCATCTTTAGATAAGTACAGGCTCCAAATTACATCAATCATACTTGAGTATTTTCTCATAATCCCCAAGCTGTCTAACAAAAATATACTACACTTCATAGGCAATAGCTTTCTGATATTGAGAGAACTGATAGCTCTTAATACAGTGATATGGTTCTCATGTCTATCGATACCAAATTTGCCAAATGTGACCACTGTATCGATTCCGAGAGCTTCGACGTAATCCCGTATCAACGAGGCAACACTCTCAGTTCTCCACTTTCCTCTTTCCTCTCTTAGAGAGCTGCAGCACAAGAAAACATTCTCCGGTTTTATTCCCAGCACTTCACAACTCATCCAAAGTTCTCGTTTGCGCACCTGTCTCTTTCCGTCTACACCACTATTGCTTAGACACAACAAATAAGGACACTTGTTCTTCTCTACCATCCTCAAAATGAAAGGTCCAAAAAACCTACATTCTTCATCAGGGTGGGCTATGATCAACAATATTCTTTTTGCCGAAGAAACAAAATATTTTGACTCCATCAAACGGTTACGAAACGACACACGAATCAAATACAGAATGTAACAAAAAACCAAATAAGCCGTCAGGTAGAGTCCAAACTGAGTTGCTATGGCTCGTAATGTTGGATAAATATTCACGTTGGATATGGTAAATGAAGTCTTTAAATAATTGTAAACAACATTAAAAAAATTCTTAACTGAGGAGAATTTTGAGTTTATGAAAGATACGAAACTGCTGTTGTGAACAATGCTTGTAGTTTCTCCGATTTCGTTTCCTGATGGATGAGTCATCACTTTTTGCACTATCTGAAACAGAGATACACAATCAAACAAACTTAGATTTTAATCTGTTTTAAGGTCCATTATCAAGTACATAAATGAGATAAATTATTCATTTAGGACCGAAATTGGTTGGAAATAAATAATAACAGAAGACAACAAAGTTATAACAGGTACTCAGTAAAATATGAAATAGCAAAGATCCTACAAATATAATAACTTGAGGCAGTCATTCTACATTTGTTTAAAGGAAGTTACGTGGGCTACTCAGGCTTAGGTTTAAGCAAAATTTAAAACTTTTGTACAAAACTTTTTTATAGTTGATGGTCCAAACACTGGTCTACTATTTAACTTTAACCTTTTGTAAGAAAACATCAATTGATTGACAAATGGCACCTCTGGGTACAGAATTGATCTGACTAGGAATCAAATCAGCACCCTTCAAAATGGTAGGTTGTTTTTGCAAAAGCAGTCATAGCTGGATAAAATTAATCTTGGTGCAAGAATAGTGAAATTGTTACCGGAGGCGTCTTTTATGATACGGTAACTTAAGCCTTCCCTTGTTAAAATGCTGAGAGGTGAGAGAGTGCCAGTAAATATTTTGTGTGGGTTCTGTGTTTCTTTTGACAGAATGAACTCTCTATCAATGAGGTCAGCCAGCTACCAACAAACGATCCTTTAACACAAAGCACCTGTTGTATAATATTAAGCCCCCATACACGGGCGAGCATGTTCGCGAGCGTGTCCAACAGACGGTCGAGCATGCTCGCGAACTTGCTTCCCGCCACCGCACAGTAGTCTTGCTTCTCTCGTGCTGTGACCAGGGGCGGCGGAAGCAAATTTTTGTTAGGGGGTCAGAAACCTATGGTGGAGGTCGACATCCGGGGGGTCTGGGGGGTATGGAATACCCCCCAGGGGGAAGGGGGGTCCGGGGGGGAAAATTTTGAAAAATAGAAGCCTTAAAACGTGTTTTTAGGCTACCTGAAGAACATTTTTCTTCAAGCAGTAACAAAGAAAATTTACAATTTAACAAAGACGCTACTCTGTTCATTGTAAAAACATTATAATAAATAATACACATACATCTCAAACAAACATAAAATGAAGTACTGGTGCCCAGACTTTACTAAAGCTGCCAGCAATGAGTTGCTGCAGACGACAGAGAAGAGTAAATTTTACAATTACATTTATGAATCACTCAGTAACGGTAAATTTCGATGCAACATTACTGAAAGTTATGTTTTGCTTCTCACTCTCAGAGTATTCCAAAGACATCTAATGTTTCAATCCATGTTTACAAGCTCTAGGCCCTAGGGATTTATGTGTTCGCGTAATTTCAGCAGGCTCTTCCCCTCCCCCTCAAAACTGAATTAATAATAAGTTGAATTAAAATTGGCTGCTTGATTATAGTTAATCACAAAAGTAAGACGGTAGGGTATAACCAAGTAAGTGTGTCCACTGGGGATAAATAATGGTTTACACAAAAAACATTACAAACATTGTATTGGCACAACATAAAATTACTAAGAAATACAAAACCTTTTTGATGAATTATTGCTAAAATAAGTAAAATCCCACACGAGAATCTCAAGATATTAGCCTACTACAAGTTTACTAGATTTTTAAACTTCTGCTGATGGAACTTCAGTAGGCCCTAACTTGAACTTCAGTCTTTGAAATTCCCGAAAACTGCACAGCGACTTTCAACTCTATTGACAAACATTCTTGCAATGTGCTTATCATCAATAGATTTAGCAATGTCCCTATGGACGGATAAGATGGCAAGATGGTTCAATCTCTTCTGCATCATCGTGGAACGCAGCCACGTTTTCAAGCGACGAAGACAAGAAAAGGTTCTTTCTGCAGTTGCTGCAGACGCTGGTAAGACAAGCAGTAACTTGACAACCTTTACTACTTCAGACAAAAATTGTTTGTTTTCTTGAGGCTCACTATTTAAAGTCACAACAAAATCACGTACACTTTTAACTTCCTTCTTTTTTGGTAAATCTTGTAGACTGTTTAATTGGCTTGTAAGCTTTTTCTTGTCCAAGTCAGTTTTAAAATGGTCACATATATTGTCCACTTCAATTTTTACTTCTTCTGTCTTCCCGTTTACTGCTTTCATTAAAACAGTTTCAATGTCTCTGTATATTTTGACTCCGGGATGTTGAAATCTATAATCAATGTCTGACTTTAAGTTGTCCAAAACGTCGAAGTACTGTTTCCTCAAATAAGTCTCTGGACCGGAGAACGTCACTGGTGGAGAAGCATCACTTTTCTGTTCTAGTCGTTTTGGAGGCGCTCGAACACGTGGAAGAGTGACCGGGAGTAAATCCATATCTGCCCCTCGTTTCTTCACTTTCTCCCATAGTTCGTTAAACTTCTCATCGGTTCTCAACTTTGTTAAACGTTGTTTAACTCTGTCAACTTGGGCTAAGGCATAGGTTATACTAATGTCACTTATTTGCAGTTTCTTAGCAAGCTCGTCTGTTATTTCAAAAATCAAAACACCGAGTTCTAAATGAAACAGTGTGAGAGTTTTCTCAAAAAATGAATGTAAACCATTGGCAGTAGGATCAGGATCTTCAGTTTTGATGCTTTCCAAAGCACTTAGAACAGTCTCATATTGTGAGTTAACAGCTTGTAGAGACTTCAGTCTCACTGTCCATCTTGTAGGACATAGAGGTTTTAGCTTAGTATTTTTAGTCAAGGCAAGATTGTCATCTGATTTATGGTGAAGCATGATATCTGTCCTTTTAGCAGATTTATTGAAATACTTGCCAAGTTCATGTACATTTTGTAGAACATTTCCGAATTCGGGTACAGCCCCAGTAGCATCGATAACAGCTAAATTCAACGCATGATTGAAGCAGTGTATGTATGTTGCACGGGGTTCTATTTTACTTATTCGAACCTGAGTACCTTTCATGTGGCCCTTCATATTTCCAGCCCCATCATAACACTGTCCACGACAGTTGTCTATGTTCAGGTCTAACCTCAACAGTACATCTTGTATTATTTTGGTCAGAGTTTCCCCAGTTGTCGAAGATGTCTCATATAAACCAATAAAGTCTTCAGAAACCTCAAAGTCACCATTGACATGTCTTATACATAAGGAAACTTGTTCTTTTGTCGACACATCTGTTGTCCCATCTACTATTAAGGAAAAATATTCATCTTCTTTTATGCTATTATTGAGTCTCCGCATCACCTCTAAGGCCAAGAGCTCCAGGATTTCATTCTGGTTGTCATGAGTAAGCCACGCTCTTTTTCGTTGAAGCCATTCTTTCAGTTCGGGAATGTCATTTGCTCTCAACTGCAAAAGTTCATAGAAGTTTCCTTCATTGTCTCCGTGACCTCTTAGTGCCATGGTACGGCTGGCTAAATACTTAATTGAAGATACAATGCTAATAAGGGCTTTTTGTGCAGCTATCATCTGATTATTTATTTGATTAGACAACTGTGCCGTAATGGGAGTTTGGTTGAAGGACATTATGGATGCAACTGACGCTTTATGGCATTCACTGCTTTCATGAGAAGAAAACTTCTCAGAAGCTTTTTTCCAATTTGAAAATCCACTGATAATGAATGTTTCGTCTACTTTCGTTTTGGATATAACCTTTAGGTTAAGCTTCTTTGCTTTCATACAAACAAAGCATTTTACTGATTCAGATTCAGAATTCCAGTGTAACCACGACCATTTTTTATACCACTCTGGTTTAAACGATCGATTTACTCCACTTATAACTTTCGTTGGGTATTTAATAGTCAAGGGTTGAAATGGTTCATTACCTTCATCTCTTTCAAACGTAGATTGTGTTGAAGTTGAAGCTGGAGCAGAGTCACTGGCTCTAGGACTAACACTAACACTCGGGCTACTTTGCACCACAGTGTCACACTGTTTTTCACCACAGCCATTTTCACTTAACGATGTGTCAACCTTAGTTTTCTTATTAAAATAGTTCGTGATTTTCTGTCTCTTCATTGCTGCAGATAAATTGTAAAATTGAAGAACAAACCACTCATGACATCATAAAAACATCACTTACACCGATAGAACTGACAGCGACAAGGTCCCGTTTTAGGTTAGGTGTGTTGCGCAACCTCCCTGCGCATACGGCATGAAGAGTTGCCAACTCTCCAGGAGTAAAATATCGTACTACTCCATAATTATCATATTTTAGGCGAAAATACCGTACGGTACATACTTAAGTTCCGACTTTGACTATGACGAATACTCAGTGCGAAATTCAAGTGTTACCTGTTAGTTAACTCTCCAAAATTCCAATACGATCATGAACATCAATTAAATTAATTATTACGTTTATAAGGTTTTGTGAGTATTAAGCCCCTTCATAATAAATGTAATAGATTATTATTAATAACTAAATTGTTTATCTTTGTACTTATCTTCAGTAACTGTTATTAGGCCTACTTATACTTTTCTTCTTGGGCCGAAAAAATAAACGTATACAGTACGGAATGCTTTATATCTTTAAATTTTTTATATGAACCCCTGACCCTTGACCCCCCTGACCCTTCCTAAAATTTCAGGGGGGTCAACTGACCCCCCTGACCCCCTGGTTCCGCCGCCACTGGCTGTGACCATCGATGTATGGCTGTGACGTCCGACGAGCCAAGCGCTGAGCCCAACATGCTCGTCGGTACGAAGGCTTGCAGACCCCACACTAGACGGGTGAGCATGTTCGCCGCCAACACCGTCACATGTTTGCCGTGTTTGGGGGTCATTAAACCTTCAATACAAAGAAATGCTATACTTAAACATCAGAAGCCTCATTGTAAAGACAATTTACAACATTTTTACACACCTGAACTTAATCATGTGACTTTCTCCTTGGCAGAATCAGAAGCCAGTAATGCTAATCCTCCAATGATTAGGGAAGTTCCAACAAACCACATTGTTGAGACTGACTCACCAAACAGCAACCATCCGATCAGAGCCTTGTAAACAATTAAGATTAATGAATGAATTATTTTAAACCAGTATACAGCTAGTGATAACTTAAGGTACGCGCGCACTACGGCGGCACGGCACGGGCGGCATTTTTAAGAGGGGGTGCGCGCACTAGGGCGGCACGGCACGGACGGACGGGACGGGACATCCGCAAATTAGGACAGTCGATAGTCAGCGAGCTAAAACTTGTTAGTAAAGATGGATGGAGATAAAGTGGTGATAGTAGGTTTAATTTTAGCTGAGGAAGAAGAGGAGACAAGAAGGCAGAAGCAAAGATTTTGGATGCACCACATAAACAGAAAAGGACTAAGTTTTTGAGAGTTCCACACCTTGTTTCCTGATATTGTAGAGGATGATGTGTAAAACCTACCTGATTTTTTTATAATAGATCATATTTCTGCCTATATATGTTCACACCGGATGTTATTAAAATATTCCTGAAGTCGCATGTTCTACAGTTTCGGATATTTCTCAACGAGAACAATCACCTTACTAACATCTATGTAGTAAACATAGTATACAACACACTAAAACATTGCGACTTTGACGGAGACCAGTTGAGAATGGCGGAAGTCCCGTGCCGCCCGCCCGGTCGGTGTGCAGTGCTCCCGGTCGGTGCGGGCGGCACGGGCGGTACAGCAGCTCGGAAATGTCCTAGAGTTCTGTCTCCCGGACTTTTTAACAAACGGCGGAAGCTGCTGAACGTCCGTTGCTGGCCGTCCCGCCGTACAGGCGCACTCATGTTACATTCAATGTTATTAACTTTTAAAAATTGCTGTGCCGGCCGCCCGTCCGTGCCGTGCCGCCGTAGTGCGCGCGTAGCTTTATGGTGCAGAGGCGCTATTTAAAATTGTGTGACATATCCCGACTGTTATTCAGAGACAATTTTTGTGCCAACGTTCTTTAAGAATTATGTGCTTCATATTATAAAGGTCTAACCCCATTCAGATTCATGCATTAAACGTACCTACCCCAAAACATAAAAAAGTAGAAATTTGTAAAATATAAAAAATATACTGTGTATGTACATACAGTATGTACAGTGTACACCAACTAGATTCAATAACCACCAAAGTTTATTTTTATCTTCTCCAAAACCACAAGTTGTAAAGTTGTGAGTCCACTTTTGTGATTTATTTATTCATGCCTTTTTTTATCACCCTCCCCTACCACCTCTCTTATGAAAATTGTTTATACCATGTTGCCAAGACGCATCAATCTGGGAAGAGGAGAGTGTTGTAGATAGTTGTAGGGATAAGATCTCTTGTAGAATACTTCAAGTGATCTGGTTCGATTGGGAATGCAAAATTCAATTTGTTCTACCTAATATAAAAAGTTTTAGTGGACATACTGTCAGTGTTTCCACACGACCAAAAAAATAATCCCGCTTACTGGGTCGAGAAATCCCATTTTATCCCGCTTTCAAATTGTGGAAAAATCCCGTTTTATCCCGCATGATATTTTTGTACAATACCTAGTATTATACTTTACGTATCATGTTTAAAAAGTTGTTTAAACATCACTATTATATTTTGCTACAGTATTTAATCAATTTGAGTTAGTTTTTCTCTAAAATTAAGTAGAAAAAAATAAAAATAGTCGTCACAGCCGAAAATCCCGTTTTATCCCGCATCCCGTTTTAATCCCGCTCAAGGTCTAAAAATCCCGTTTTCGGGATAATAATCCCGCGAATGGAAACACTGCATACTGTACACATAAAAAAGGAAATGTCTGATTTGAGTTCATCTCCAAGTTTAGAGCTGACCAGTTTTACCGACAGATAGGTAAACTCCTCATGAGTTGCAGACCAGGCGAACACATCTCTTAAACCACTCAGCTACCCACTATATTGCTGGCCAGTGAGCACGTACCGGTGACTTACTCACCGGTACCGCCCAGGGGCAAAAATCTTGGGCTCATAGGAGTAAGAATCTCTAAGTTATGATAGCTTAGATTAAGCCTACTTTAATAAATAGTACCAAAATAACTACTATAAAGACATATTAGCCTACATGAAGATGTGTTCTATATTCTCTGAAAGAAGTTTAAGATTTTTTAAATAATCCACACACCTAGAGGTCGCCCCGTGGTTAAAACCTCAACTCATAAACATGTATTGTGCAAACTTCTCTATTTTCACCCCACGCTGTAAATAAAACATGTGATTGGAATTTCTTCCATTTGTTTTGATTTTCTGTTTAAATTTTGTTGTTATTTCGTCAGAAGCATGGCAACCCATAAGGTCCATGTTAATTTTTTTTATTTTAAATTCATTTTTTGTTCTTATTCTTGAGCCTATTTTAATTTAAAGGGATTCTGCACATCTACAGGAAAATATCAATCTAACAGTATGCCAAGATTTTCCCTGTGATGCACACGAGCTGATAAGGTTATGTCCTTTACTTTCCCATAAAGTAACTTGAATAGAAATGAGGCTACTAAATCCTAAAATCCTGTCATATAGTATTCACCCTACTACTGTATTTATTTTATACAGTTAAAATCTAACTTATTTACCTTCACAGAATAAGTAAATTAAAATTTTGTTGTTTCATTTATTATGTAGAACAATCCATCAAATTTATAAGTAGGCCTAGTTGACATTTTATTTGAAGGAAGTGCCCAACATCTTTCCGTAGTTACAGACTGATGTAAAAGAAACTACAGTAACTAATCAAAAGCTTTTTTTATGGTATAGCCTCTGGATCACTGATTTTTACAACAAAAGGTTTAGATTACCTGTATCCGTCAAGTGATCTTCGATTGTAGTCGTTTGACTACAGCTGTTTCGTGTTTATAAACACATCTTCAGGTCAATGATTGCATTGATTGATCCCATCCATAGATTGGTCATCGTGAGGTTGAAAGTTCACAAATAACACATGTACACGAAACATTAAACATTAAATTGGCCAAAACACAAATACATAAAAAACTATATCGGACACGTGTGGCGCCGGTAGAAGGTAGGTCATGACTGCAGTGTGCTGGAAGTGATGGCCCCCCACCCATCATCTGCTATTATCTGTTGTGGTCTAAGATGCGTAAGGCCATAGAAAGTAGAATAAATATAGACCGTCAGCTGTGCTGCAGTAAGCAAAAATTTTGGCGTCCACCGCTAGGTTTACCGTGTAGTTACCATTTTTTATGGATTTGTGTTTTTGGCCAATTTAATGTCTATGTTTCGTGTAGGTGTGTTATTTGTGAGCTTTCAACCTCATGACAACCATTCCATGGATGGGATGAATCAATGCAACATTGACCTGAAGATGTGTTAATAAACACAAAACAGCTGTAGTCAAACAACTACAATTGAGGATCACGTGACAGTTACAGGTAATCTAAACGTATTGTTGTAATCAAAGGCTGCTGGTGAATTATGCATCGTATGATTTTTCCGGTGCATGAATCTTGAACCGGTGGAGGAAAACAAAGGAAGTCTGCTAGGTAAACTCACCTGTCTCTCAGAACGACACATTTACTGCACCAACACATGTTCCCAGAAAAAAATTTGTCTTTGTAATTAATTAGAAAATATCAACTTACTGATGAAATGTAGTTGACAGCAGCAACACTAATGGTTGGAATGAAAGTCGATGGGGATTCTTGAAGTGCTTTTACAAAAAAGGTCCAGACAGCAGCATTGCAGATGATCATTAAAACTAAACACAGAGCAGAAACAATGTACTGTGCAATCTGGAAAAAAACAATTACTAAATTCAGTTTTCATGAGGTAATATTGGTCAAAAATCACTTTGAATTATCGGTAGGTATATTATTTTTTGAATATTAGAGATTTTCTGAGGGGAACAGACAAACATTACTAATTATAGAGGTTTTCAAATTATCAAGGTTCAAATTAGCGAGGTTCTATTGTATAACAACCTGGTAAAGTGTTCGGAACAGACTCGACAATGTTGATCAGCTGTTGAATCTGTTCTGAACATTTGACCAGAATCATCTCTAATTCCGTTGCTGCGGCTAGTAAATTGGCTTTTTATAAGAATTCTCATTTCAAAAGTTTGAACTGTGGATAGTGTCACACCTAATACAGTACAGCAAATAAGACTGACGCCGTACCTAAGAGATTTAAGTAAACAAGTCAAAAAGTAACCAAATAATAACAAACTTATTATTTGATATCGAGAAATCAAAAATAGGCTGTCTTAAATATTTCCTTGAAGCTCACAAAAATAAATTATTTTAAATAGGCCTAAACAAACCTAGTTTTACTGGTAACAATACCAAAATGTTTTGGGGCATACAAAAATAATGCTGAATGAAATTTCGGTACTTTGGTATTATCCGGAGGCCACCCTTATAGAGCGTGCTGCGGCGGTTATGTTGGGTTGGGTTATCAAAAACGGAAAGAACATACGTTAATTGACTTACCGGTACTGTCCAAATTTGACATGATTACAATTAACGGCCTTTGAGTTCTGTCTCCCAGAAGGCAGCGATGTCGGCGAGGATTGAGCTGTATGCGTCACCGCCTCCGGCTGCCACAGGCGATGACAGGTGTTGCGCGCGCTCTGGTCAACGACCTCACCTTGGCCTACTTGGAGAGGGTTTGGCGAGTGAAAGTATGACTCATCTGGTATTGTTTCATAATGAAACGAGAAAAGTCCTACAAACATATTTATGATAACCCAACCTAACATAAACACCGCAGCGCGCTGTATAAGGGTGGCCTCCGGATAATACCGAAGTACCGAAATTTCTGGGTAAAACCGTTAATACCCCGGCTGCAGCAAACCTGCCGACTAAGCGAATTTCCATTTGGCTGAATTGATTTTCAATTGATCTATTTAAAACACATTAGGTTTAACGAGTACCTAGGTTTGCTACTACAGGGAAACTAATAAAGTGTGTTTTTTATTAAAATATCAATAGCTTTAGTATGAAATAAATAAATCTGCCAAGTTTGATCAAAATATATCCAGAAACAAGAAAACTACAACATATTATAATATTCTCCATAAGAATAACATGGGAATTTTAAATTAACAATTTTTTGAATTTTCTCCGTAACCAATCACCGTACAAAAACACTTTCATATACTAAATTATTTGTTATTTTAAGCTCTTTAAAAAGGTCTGGAGGAAATTGATAAATTTTCTGTTTTATGGGTAAAAAATTAGAAAAACCAATTTTTACCCCATAAAACCACCCGTAAAACCGTAGGCCTTCTTCCCTATAGGGAAATTTGCTAAAAAGAAGGCAACTACGTCACAACACAGGACACATGACCCAGTACCCAGTACCCACACACCACTTGACCATATCTTACTTTTACCGGCACACAAGCATTAAGTACGGCTTGTTCTTTAATTGTGACCACGCTAACTTCTAAATGTTTTTGTGTTAAGCGTTTCGTATGACGAATGTTCACACTCAGGTTGAAGAGGAGTTCTGACACTTAATGTCCTTGTGGACCTGACAATGAAGGCATTAAAGGGTACACTTCCATTTCTGTTAGCACAAACAACCAAATGAGTAATATTGATTATTCAATTTTTTAATTCGATATATCGTTTGGTTAGTTAGGTTAGGTTAACCTTACTTGTTACTTGTTAACCTAACTAACCAAACGATATATTGAATAATCGATATATCGATCGATATTTTCATTTTGTTGTTTGTGCCAGCAGATATGGAAGTGTGGTTTCAAAGACGTGCATTAAAGTCTTTGAAACCATGGTAGTCTAACGACAAGAACAGGATCACTTGGTAATATAACA